GTTTACATATTCTTGATTCTACGAGGCTGTGCAGGTATTGTATATATGTATATATATATATATATATATATGGATTTATTTCTCCAATCAGATAAATTATAGAGTCGTTTACCCCAATAGCAGCATCTGTGTTAATGAGAAGGCAGATGCTAGTGGAAAGTACTTGAAGTTCGTTTTGTTGTAAAACCTTATCTCAACGTCAACAATTTTTGTTTCTTTGAGTGAGAGAACAATCTATTTAGATCAATCCACAATTTTAGTTAACCTCTTAGAAACTTTATGACAGCGCAGGTTTAAAAAGACTGTGGTAGGGCAGAGCAGAATTATGGAGACTATATAGGAGGAAAGAGAGAATTATGGAAACTATAAGGTAAGACAGAGCAGGGTTATGAAAACTATAGGGTAGAACAGAGCAGGGTTATGGAGACTATAGGGTAGGACAGAGCAGAATTATGGAGACTATATAGGAGGAAAGAGAGAATTATGGAAACTATAAGGTAAGACAGAGCAGGGTTATGAAAACTATAGGGTAGAACAGAGCAGGGTTATGGAGACTATAGGGTAGGACAGAGCAGGGTTATGGAGACCAGGGTAGGAGAGAGAAGGGTCGTAGAGACTATAGGGTAGGACAGAGAAGGCTTGTAGAGACTATATGGTAGGACAGAGGAGGGTTTTAGAGACTATAGTGTAGGACAGAACAGGGTTATGAAGACTATAGGGTAGGACAGAGTATGGTTATGGAAATTATAGGGCATAACAGAATACAACAGGATTATGGAAACTATAGGGTACGACAGAGCAGCATTATGGTGACTGATTCAGATAACGTCGTAACTTTTAAACTATTAGTCGTCAATAAATTAATGTCGCTTTTTTTTTAGATGAAAAAATACCTAACAACTTATATACCAAAACAAAACATTTATTAAATGAAATAGCCTCCATTCTTATCGATGATGCTTTTTCATCTTACAGTCAGGTTCTTAATGCCCTTATTAAAGAAATCATTGGCTTTGAAGCAAAAAAACATGTCGATGTCCACTTTAACACCTTCTACATTTTCATACGTTTCACATTAAGATGTTGTTGCAGCGAACGAAAAAGATGGTAATCTGATAGTGCCATATCTGGAGAATATGATGGGTGGGGGATAACTTCCCAACCCAACTCCATAATCTTGTGTTGCGTCAAACGTGCCACACGTGGATGTGCATTGTCGTGGAGAAGAAGAACACCTTTCCGATTGACGAACGAAGGGCTTGACTTCAACGTTCCAGTTGCTGACTATAGATCTCTACATTGACAGTTCGCTATGGATTGAGGAGTTCGAAATAAATTACTCCTTCCATGTCCCACCAAATGCAAAGCATCACTTTCTGCGAATAGAGTCCAGGTTTGGGGGACGGAAGTGGTTTTTGTCTAGGACTGAGCCATTCGGAGAGTTCGTGAGGCACCCAAACACCTTCTTTATGGAGTTTTCCTATATTCCTTAGATATTATACGTATTGTTTCGTGAGAGACA